CATCTGTTCTTACACCTAACATCACCTCAGGCCTTTCTAAGATCAACCTTCTCGAACCTCAGGAACACCAGTGTGAACATCCAGGAGACTGTTTGGGCCCCAAACCCCGGAGTTCCTCTTTCCACTTGGTGGCTGGTTCATCGCGGATCCTGAGCCTGCCCCTCCTTGTCTCGGCCCCTGCCCTGCTCCAGGAGCCAGTCCCTCACCAGTCAGCAGCTGGAGCCTCCCTTTGTGTCCCCTGGCCTGCTGGGCCCCTATGTCCATCCTCCCACAGTGGCTAGAGATATCTTTTCCCCCCCAAATTTAAAAAATTGTGATAACATACACTTCAAATGTACCATCTTCACCATTTTTTTTTTTTTTAAAAGAGAGGGTTTTGCTCCATCACCCAGGCTAGAGTGCAGTGGTGCCACCATAACTCACAGAAGTCTTGAACTCCTGAGCTCAAGCAATCCTCCCACCTCGGCATCCCAAACTGCTGGGATTACAGGCATGAGCCACCATGCCCAGCCCATCTTAACCATTTTTAAGTGTACGGTTGTAGGGTATTAAGGACATTCATAATGTGCAACCATCACCACCATCCATCTTCAGAACTCTTTCATCTGGATACTGAAACTCTGCACCCACTAAACACTGACTCCCCATTCCCCCTTTCCTCCACCCCTGGCAACCACCATTCCACTTTCTGTCTCTGAGTTACTGGAGGGAGACCCTCACCTCAGTATTTAACCATAAACCAGCTCATGCCACTCCCCTTTCCAAACCTTCCCACTAACTTCCCACTAAGACTAGAATAAAACCCCCAATGCCTGTGCCCAGCTGCCTCTCCCACACCCCCCATGGCTCACTCGTGTCCCTTGAGGTTGCTCAGCTCATTCTCTCCAGACCTTTGCTTGGGGGGAGCCCGGCCCCTTGTTTCATCTTCCCTAGCTCTTCCCCAGCGGCTCCTTTTCCACATTTAGGCCCCAGCTAAAACAGCACCTTCCCACCCTCCTTAGCTGAAGCAGTCTCCCTCCCAAGCCATCACCGCTTTCGTCCTTGGCACTCGCAGAACCCGGTCTCCTCACTCACTGGGGTTCTTGGTTAGTGTCTGTGTCCCAGCTGGGATGTGCTTGAGGGCTGGGCCTGTTCGCGCCCCGCCAGTGTCTAGAATGGTGCCTGGCACGCTGCAGTAGGTAATAAGTATTTGTTGATGTATTCCTGTGGCCGGTGCCTGACCCAGTGGGGATATGTGTGTGTCTGGACCCTTTGCAGGCTGTGTCCTGAAGCCAGGGCCTGGAGTTGGGTTGGGCAGTGACACTGTTTTCTCCAGAGTCAGGTTTGGACCCTGTTCCATCGCTTGCTGACTGAAGACTTGGGAGAGGTCTCCCAGGCTCCTTCTGAGCTGACCTCTCCTCTGAGAAGCCAGGGTGGGCAGGACACCCCACCTGGCGCAGTCCAGCCTCAGCAGCTTAGTGGGAGACACAAGAACCTCTCCAAGACCCCTCCCCTCAGACTTCTCTGCTCTCTGGGACCCAGATGTTGCCTGGACAGAACTGTCTTACCCCAAACCACCCGCCCTGTACCCTGGGATCCCAGGCCCAGGAGAGATGGCGGGCAGGCTCTGTGGCCAGGCCTGGGACTAAGATAAGCAGCACCACCTTGTGTCCGGCATAGACAACCTCTGGCTCATGGCTACCACACCTATGGCGTGGAGAAAGGAAACTGAGGCGAGGGTAGGCTCACAGGCAGCCGAAGCATTACAAGAGCGTAAGGGCTGCACGCCCCGCCTTTCCCTCCCTCTTCCCCAGAGCTCTTTGCTTTTTGGAGGTCCTGCCGCTCCTTGCTCAGCCCAGTCACCCGACCCCCACCCCTCTTCAAGGGGGCTGCCGGCCCTGAGTCGAGCTTGCCTTGCTAACCCCGTCCTGCCCGCGACCCCGCCCCACTAGTCTCTTCCCGCCCCAGCCCCTCCGCAATCCATCGTCCCTTCCCTGGGTAGGTTCCCCGGGTTTCGGGCTACTTTGTTCCTGCCTGGCTTATCTTCCTTCCCAGGCCCAGCCCGCTCCGTGTCAATATTGACTCAGGCGATGGGAGCGGCCCCAGCTGGGCCCCGCCCCTCCGGGCTCCGCCCCATCCTTGTCCTAGCCCCTCCCTGGCAGATGCTGAACCTTGGAGTCCCCGCCCTGTGGGGAGCGTCCCTCCGATTGAGGATCGGGACCCCTGCCTGGAACTGCTGCCTCGGGTCCTGCAGGCCTCTCCTGGAGACGCCCTGGGTGAGAGAACGGTCTGAGACCCAGGCCTCTGCAGGAAGGCGGTGTCGCTGCCTTACCAGGGCAGGGGTGAGTGATCCTTCCTGGCAGCTCACTCACCAGCAGGACCCAGCCTGGACCAGGACAGCTGCGGCCCCTGTTAGGGAGTGGTGGTGGAAGGTGGGGTTCTGTTCCTGCAGGGCGGGTGACCCTGGGCTCCAGTGGCCATGGGAGTTCCATCTCCTGCGATGGGAGCTCCCCACCTTGTGAAGGCAGATGCTGTCCCCCAGGTGGAGCTCTTATCAGCCTACCTCCTCACCCTTGCCTTGGGAGAGCCTCCTAGGGCCCAGGCGGGTTTCTCTGTACTTTTCTGGATTTCCTAAATGTTTAGCAATGAACATGTACGACTGATCTTTCAAGCAGAGCAACACATGCCACCTCCCTCAAAGCCCTGTCCAAAGTGCCATCTCTGGGCATCAGGCCTGGAACAGGGTCCGGGCCTTGCCTTTCGCTCGAGCAGGTTTGGGGCTGGGGTTCTCAGCCCTGCCTGCCCTTTCCGGCCATCGGGTGCACTTACACATGATGCAGGTCCCCCCACAAAGAATTGGGGGGAGAGGGATCTGTATTTTTGAGCCCTTAGTTGATGCCAGCATGCAGCCACAGCTGAGACTCGCTGAGCCAGGAGATGGAGCCATCGTGGAGGTCTGAGCTGGAAAGCTCTGGGGGTCATGGGCTTCTCCTGTCTGCCCGTTCTCAGAGGTCAGGCTGGTGGCTCTGCTGGTTGGTGGCTTTGGGCCTTGAGCAGCCTGTTGGCCCATGGCCAGCCCTGGCACAGGGGTTTACCGCACAAGCATCCACTATTACTCCAGGGCCTCTGCCACAGCCCCAGTGTACCTCTCATGCACAGACTGTCAGTAAATGGGCCATGGTCCCAGGCTGGTTTTTCCCAGCTGTTCTTGTCCACCTCCAGGGCTTCCTACCCCTTTCTCGGTCCAGTAACAGACAGATGATGTGTGCTCAAACTAGAAAACATTGGGAGGGGAAATCTCAGTATGCCCAAGTCCCAAGTAAGTGCCCTCTTGATGACTGAGCTTTAACCCACCTAGTCAGGGGATTGGCAGGTGCTCACAGGATTCCTCAGCCTTGGGGGTTGCCACAATTCTCAGTCATTTATCTGCTTACATGCAAAGGTGTGAGGCAGCCAGTGTCCAGGGTAGATGCCAGAGGAAAGAGAGGGTCAGGGAGGGGTGAAGGGTCGAGGGGAGGAAGCTGAGGCGGCTTCTCCCTGGTGGGCCAGCTGTTCCACTGTGGAGAGCAGAAACCTGGGGGGAGGTGGCATGGCGCAGACTAGCTGTGGGGTACTGGGGGCTTTGTCTCTGGGTAAATGTTGGGTCTCCGACACACATATTGGGTCCTGAGTTGTTGGGGATGAATATACCAGAGCTTTGTCTCTTGACAAAGTTTGGCCTCAGTTTTTGCTTTTTTGTTAGAGTTGGGGTCTCACTCTGTCACCCAGGCTGGAGTGTAGTGGCATCATCATGGCTCACTGCAGTCTCGATCTTCTGGACTCTGGCAATCCTCCCACCTCAGTCTCCCGAGTAGCTGGGACTACAGGCATGTGTCACATATCCAGTTAATTTTATTATTATTTTTTTAGCGATAAGGTCTCACTATGTTGCCCAGGCTGATCTCGAATTCTTGGTCTCAAGCATTCCTCTCACTTCGGCCTTTCAAAACACTGAGGTCATAGCCATGAGCCATCACACCCGGCTGGCCTGTTTTTTCATCCACAAAATGGGCATAAAACCTAACTGATGAGAGTGTTGACAGTGGAGTTTTTAAAAATCTGAATTAGACAGTACCATGAAGAAACTGAGTCCTGAGAATGGTGAGGCCATGTCCAAGTTCCTGACAGGAGCCCCTAGCAGAGAGGGACTTGCTTACCCCTCTTATATTCATGCACAGAGGGGCTGGGCTGAGGGCAATGTTGATAGACTGTCTTTGTTTTTGTTTTTTTTTTTTTGAGTTGGAGTCTCACTCTGTCATCCAGGCTGGAGTGCAGTGGCATGCTCACAGCCACCTCAGCCTCGACCTGCTAGGCTCAGGCGATCCTTCTTCCTCAGCCTTCCCAGTAGCTGGAATTAAAGGAGCACACGCCTGGCTTATTTTTTGATTTATTGTAGAGACAGGGTCTCACCAAGTTGCCCAGGCTGGTGTTGAACACCTGAGCTCAGGTAATCCTCTTGCCTTGGCCTCCCAGAGTGCTGGGATTATAGGCTTGAGCCACTGTGTCCGGCTGATAGACTGTCTCATTGTGAGAAAACTGTCTGGTCCACCCCTACTCTTTTTCTGATTCCGTCATGCTTTGTCTGGTATTCGCCCCAGCCAGTGTACACACGGTGTGGGTTGGGTTCAGGCCCCCTACACAACGTAACCTGTGGCTCTTCTAGGGTACAGCGGGGCCCAGTTCTCTCAGGCTACATTTTTAAGCCTGAGAGTATGCTGGAACCCCTTCTTCTGTCGGGGGAGAGGAAGCCAGGGGGCAAACAGCTGTCACTCTCTAGGTGACAGGCAATTTGGGCAGGATGTTTACCTAGGGCCAAGGTCTGTGGCTCCCAAGGTCCTGCAGCCCCACTCCCATCCACCCTTGTTCCCCAGAAGTGGGGACACCAGGAGACCCAGGGGCTGGCTTGAGGCTGTACAGAGGGCAGACACTGTAGGGAGGAGAGGCGTGGCTGCCAAAGAAGAAGCAGTCCATTCACAAGAGAGTGCAGTTTCACATGTTTATTTTTGGCAGGAAGGAAATCATTGCAAACTTCTCATTGACAATATTCGCCCCAGAAACGTGCACATTCCACATGTAGCATTTCCCAAGTACTGTTTCTCACATTCAAACGTCCAACAGACATCCATGATCACTCAGACACCAGCACCTCCATTGCCTGGGGGGTGTCAGTCTGCAGAGAAGCTCCTGGGAGAATGGAACAGGAATAGACATGACTAAATTTACAGTAAGATAGGAACAGAGGCAGCCAGCCAGTTTTGCACAGGTAACTGCAAGTGCTTCAAGCCATCCACTCTTCTCGAACCCTGGCCTGCCAACTGTCCAACACAGCACCTTTAAAAGCAGAGGCACAAACGTCAAGAGTGTTTGACCATAGGGCTGTGTGGTCCTGGATTTTTTTTTTATTAGAAAGCCATCTTTAAAAAGATGGGGTGGTAAAGTGCTGCCAGGTTACAGACTTACAGGATTCTTGTGTACACCAAAAGTTCAAATGCTGCAACCATGACAAGTCAGTGTCATCAGGCCATCCTCATGTCCCAAAGTCATCTCATCAAAATTGCACCATGTCAAAGGAGCTTCCCCACCAGCCGTCGACCATGACAGGTGTTCCTTTTCAGTATACAAATGCATTGTTTACAAACAGCCAATGTGTGAAACCATAGACCAACACGTGGATTCCAGAACACATGGAAGACACAGCGTTAACAACCTCAGGAGTGCCTGTGAACCTCCACTGGAAGCCTGGCCAGAGAAGTCATGACATCAGAGTGGGCTGGCGTCCACGAACCCAAGGTTCCCTGTCTCAGATCTTAATGTCAAAAATACTTGCCTGGGAGATGGCATTTAAACCTGGTACAGAAAGAACCATGGAAGCTTAGGTGGCCAGGCTTCTCTTTTGGCTAAAGAGTTAGGGGTATTTTGGTAACATGGGAAGTACATGGCACAGAGGAATAGGTTTTATTAGGTTTCATTAGGGTTTAAAGCCCACAATTTAATAGAAGGTAATAATTAACAACAATACCCGTATTTACCTTAGAAAACATAAGCCCCAAACATTCATCTCATTTCTTGGCCTTATGTTAGAATTCTATTGCTTCATTTACATGTAGATGATTAAAAATATATAGAGATAGATAGATATTTTGATTATGTACACAAAGCAGATTCAAGAGTTAAAATCAAAAATGGAATTTTGGAGTGTGGTCAAATAAGGTGCACAGATTCCAGAACCCTCAGAGGGCTGGCTGGCTCTCCCAAGACATTCTGTGTCTGTGGTGGCAGAAACCGGGCCCCGTCCCCAACAGCTCTGCACTGGCTTAGTGCAATGGTGCTCACAGTTTCAGGAACTACGACGTGAAGTGTCTGGCTCAAGCCCACCAAGTGTCTTCACTCCTTCTGTCAGAAGTGGAGCACTATTCCTAGGTTTACATCCCCTGATATATTTTAGAATTTCACTCCTCTCTGTCCCCTCTTCCAAATAAGGCCCTGTGATGCCAACAAGGAAGGGGGCACAAGTGAGGGTTCTAAGGCTCTCGTGAGGGCCTAGTTCTGTGTGGATATCAACACACGACAGACACCTGACTGCAACATTCAAGACATTTAAGGCAGTGGGTTCATTTAATGACTGGTTTTCCGAATGCAGGTTTGTGGCATGTACAGATCTGCCACGTCACTATCATCATCTGTGGTAACGTCTAGCAAGGGATTGTTTCTATGTTAATTGGCATGTGGATTACTGGGTTAGGAACACTCAGAATGTTGGGAAACCTGGTTGCCCCCTGAATACTCACTTCCCTTCTGAATGCACAGCAGTTCACAGGCCAGAGGGCTGCTGGGAGGACGTGATTGGCAGCTGGCTTCGTGACTTTGTGATGAAAGCAAAAAAGGGACATTTTAATCTGACCCCCAACTTCCAGTCTTGTTAGTGCCAAGTCGCTCCCACCAGAACTCTGGCTGAGGACCAACCCACAGAGGACTAAGGCAAAGGTGCCAACATGAAAGGGTTCTTAATTATTTTTAAGAGCAATACTTTACAGACCGTCTTGTTGTCAAACAAGGAACATGGCACTTCTTAGACACCAAATTGGGAAAGGCTGCAAAGACAGCCAGGGCTTGGGGGTGGAAGCCCTTCCTCTCCCTGATCGAGGGCGATGAGTCCCACGTCTAGACAGGCTTTCCCCACCCTTGGCTCAGAAATAGGCTGTGCTTCAAAGGAGAAGACCAAGAGATGGACTCGGGCCACATCAGCTTGGTGGCTGGCTGGTTGAGGCCGCAGGTTCTCAGGAGAGAACGGTCAGTTGATCCAGCAGGATGTGATGTGGCCTGTGGTTGCAAATGATTGTCACCCCTGTGCAGGGCTTTGGCCCTTTAGCCTTTGTACTCTTTGGTGGCCAGAGCCAGGGAAGGGCGACAGTTGGTGCAGGCTGCACTGGGGTGGGACACCTATATTTCTGACCCTGTCCAAGTTTGTAGCTTAGCAGTGAGCATATTCTGAGCATAGGCACAGTGGCAAAGAACAGTGTAACAGCCGCTGGTCAATTCCATTTGGTGGCAGCGCGATAGCAGCAAAGAAAATTCCCAAACAGCTCCATGTGTATCCAGCTTTCGGAAAGGAAAGATTTAAAAATCAATCAACAGATTTTTTTTTTTTTAAATATCCAAGGGTTTTAGGGTTTCTTGTAACTATTCTACCAAAAAAAAAAAGAACAAAAAACAACAACAACAAAAAAACCCCAACAAAAAACCCCCACAGAAGTATGGCAGTAGTGTGAGAGTAAAAGTGACATGATATCACTTTTCATGGGGGAAAATGGGACCTTAAGATAAATTTGTCACCATCAGAAATAATCATATAAAAGAATCTATTGTTTCCTCAAATGTTGAGCCACACAATTGCAGATACATTCCAAACGGGGTCAGAAATGAATGGAGACAATGACACAGTCACAAAATACTCCTATCAGGAACCTGACCCTGTAGCATGCCACAGGTCGTCAGAGCAAAGTCACACCTGTTGGGAGACAGGGTCCTATGACTCACTCCACTCCCTCAGCACCCCCTGCCACACACAGACACGCTACCAGGTTCTAGAAAATTGTTGTGTTCATCTTCTTAGAGTATCTAAGACAATAAAAGACTAAAAGATGTCTGGAAATAGGCTGTGTAGAAAAATTAACTCTCAGCTTAAAATAACATTCAAAAGGCACTTCATCCTGTAGGAAAGAGATTCTGAGTTGGGTCAGCTGCTCCGAGCTGGGACCGAAGGGGACAGGTGCTCTGCTTGGAGGGAGGACAGTTGAAAGGAAGTCTGATAGATATCAAGCTTTTTTTTTTTCTCTATTTTTTTTTCTTTTTGGTATGTTTTAAGAAAAGCAAATCCAGTAAAATGCATGTCCCTTTATGAAATTTGTTAAAAGAGTTCTTTTTTTAAAATAGTTGCTTCTGTTCTTAAAAAACAAAACGAGTAGGCATGGCCACATTCACCCTGTGGCCTGGAGCATGAAGGATCCTCACTTGCTGCTCCAGGGGAGCCCAGGGCAGGCAGGCCCCGAGGTCAGAGGTTCCAGAGCACACAGGTGGGACGCGGACAGAGGCCAGGGCTACCTGCTGCAGAGTCTGTGCAGCACGCTGTACACGTCGTCCTCCCGGCTCAGACCCTCAAAGAAGGGGATGAGGTCCAGCAGCTCCGTGTCCGTCATGTCATCAAACCAGGACTGCACAGGCACCTGGAAGACAGTGGCATGGAGGAGGCAGCAGGACTGCACCTAGCCTGACTGGGTCCCTGTACTTTCAACATTGTTTTTTTTGGTCCCCTGTCCCAACCAAGGTCAATCCAAAGCTACGTGATTTGGGAGATGCGAAAGTTAAATGTTGGCCGGCCGCAGTAGCTCATGCTTGTCATCCTAGCACTTTGGGAGGCCGAGCCAGGAGGACTGCTTGAGTCCAGGAGTTCGAGACCAGGTTGAACAACATAGCGAGACCTCGTCTCTACAAAAAAATGAAAAAATTAGCAAGGCACAGTGGCGTGCACCTGTAGTCCCAGTCACTTGGACTGCTTGAGCCCAGGAGGTCAAGGATGCGGTGAGCTGTGATCACGCCACTGCACTCTAGGTTGGGCAACAGAGTAAGAACCTGACTCGAAATAAAATAAAATAAAATAAATGTATCCAGTTTGTGTGCATTTGCCTGTTTTGTTTTCCTACCACAGAAAAGGAGGCCAGAGCATAGACCATATGAGAATTAGTGTGGTGACTTGCCAGTTTCATAAAACTCTTTCTTGAATCAAGTCAGCTCCTTACACTTCCGCGCATGTGCAAGCAGAGGCTATATGCCAACCACCACCATGGCACAGGACAGCTTCTACTCAGGGTCACTATGGTATGTTATATGGCAGAGAGAAGTGGTAAATTTCCTCCTACAGGTGGTAGTTATCAGTTAAAAGTATGCAGACCACTCTGAAGCTGTGGGCAGAGACAGGATTTTCCTTTAGTTGTAGGCAGAAGGGTGGTAACGGGTATAGCCAGGGCTGCAAAGAAATTTGAGAAAACCAAAAATGTTTAAAAGTAACATTCTGGTTACTTTTTTTTTTTTTTGAGTTGGAATCTCACTCTGTTGTCCAGGCTGGAATGTATCGGCACCATCACGGTCACCGCAGCTTCGACCTGCTGGGCTCAGGTGATCCATCCGCCTCAGCCTTCCAAGCAGCTGGAACCACAGGCACACACCCCCTCACCCTGCTACTTTTTGATTCATTGTAGAGATGAGGTCTTGTCAAGTTGCCCAGGCTGGTCTCGAACCCATGGGCTCAGGCAATCCTCTTGCCTCCGCTTCCCAAACATTCTGACCCTATTACAAATCTCAAGACAGCTTAGAAACATAAAAATTCACATGTAATTTTGAAAAACAATATAAGGATTAATTAAAAATGACTCCCTTGTGGGGATAGGGAGAGAGTAGAAGCAAGGGCAGAAATGAACACAGACTTTTCCAACTCTATCTTCATTGATAATTTCGATGCTAGAAGCTTGTGAATGTGTTATTATTGTTTTTGAGTTGGAGTCTCATTCTGTTGCCCAGGCTGGAGTGCAGTGGCATGATCATGGCTACCACAGCCTTGAGGTGCTGAGCTCAGGTGATCCTTCTGCCTCAGCCTTCCAAGTAGCTGGAACTGCGGCTACAGGTGTCACCACACCTGGTTAATTTTTAAAAATTTATTATAGAGACAAGGTTTTGCCAAGTTGACCAGGCTGGTCTTCAACCCCTGGGCTCAGGCAATCCTCTCACCTCCATCTCCCAAAATGCTGGGATTACGGGCGAGAGATACCACGCCTAGCCAAATGTGTTATATAATTAAAATAAAATTAAACCATTAAGAAGAAAGCAATACAAAATGAACCTGAGTGTATATAAAGTTGGTGACACAACCATACAGAGAATTATTTCAAATGGTTTTAAAATATAGTATTCTGACTGTATACCTCTCCAAAAAACCCTCGTCTGCATTTAGTTGTCTTATTTTTAGCAATAATATTAGCACTGCCATTTTGAAATTATTAAACGTATACTGAAGAGTAAATCAAAGATGCCATTCTGCTAATATCTTCAGGAATCAAGAGTTTCAGCAAAAGAGAATGAGATACAAATAAACAAACAAAAAGTGAAAGACTGTTCTCTTACTGTTGAATTGGAAAAACTAGTATAAAATTATGATTTTCTAAAATATGTCACTTTTTGCTCTAACCTGTAGTGTGGGCTAGAATTAGAGGAACGAAAGTAGCAACAAAAGCTCATAGAAACTGGGGCCCCTAAATACTGTTTCCACTAATTGGAAGTGGGCTCTATGGAAAAATGGCTGATTCCAGGGCTGAGAATAGAAATACTCAAGATGAGCCCGGAACACCTTGTTGTACCAGAAAGCAAGGAACTTACAGGCTAAGCATCACTAACCTGAAAATCCAAATTCTGAAATGCCCCAAATCTGAAACTTTCTGAGTGCCAAAGGGATGCCACAAGTAGAAAATTCCACACCTGACCTCCTGTGCCAAGTCAAAGTCAAAATGCAGGCATGCAACACATGGTTTATTCAGTGTCCCCAAAATTATTTTTAAAATTTTGTAAAATTACCTTCAGACTGTGTGTGTAAGTCATGCATGAAACATACATGAATTCTATGTTTAGACTTGGATTCCACCCCTAAGACATCCCATCGTATACTGTGGTGGTGGGGGGGTAGGAACCAAAAACCCTGGAATTTTTTTATTAAAAAATTATGTATTTATTCTTACATGTTTAAACTTCAGTCACCTTCAGAGTATTCTCCAATTGGTGAAATATGTTTATCTTGATGCTTTTTCCACTGCTCAAAACAGGGTCAATTTTGATGCCTTTTAGTACTTCTGCTGTTTTTGTTTCACCTATTCCGCATCAGCAAAATGTTTCCCTCTGAGAGTTTTTTTCATTTGCTGGGGGGCGGAGCTGCTCGGCGTGAGATCAGGTGAATAGGGAGGGTGGGGTATGGGGGGGGTCATGCTGTTTTTGGTCAAAAACTGCTGAATACTCAGTGCAGTGTGGGCAGATGCATTGTCATGATGGAAGAACCCGTCACCTGTTTACCACAACTCGGGACATTTCTTCTGTAAATTCTAACACAACCTTCTCAAAACTTCTAGATAAAAACCTTGGTTGACCATTTGATCAGGAGGAACAAATTCTGAGTGTACTACAAGGGGTTCACCCTCTAAAATATAATTCTGGGGTTTTTTTTGGACATCCCCCCTTGTATATGCAAATATTCCAAAATCCCCCCAAAACCCAAAACACTTCTGGTCCTAAGTACTTCAGATCAGGGATACCCAATCTATATCAGACTATTGTTATTTGAAGGATTCTCTACTGGCTAAAGGTGAAAAGTTGAGCATCCAAAAAAAAAAAAAATTCACTGGCTACTTCTGGGGGTTGCTAGAGCACCAACTCATTAGCCTGAAAATAGAAACCACCATTTTGCAATTCCTAATGAAACAGTGGATGGAAGCAATATTCATCAATTGCTACAACTGTGAGGTGAAAGGTCAACGGGGCATTTTATAATGGACAGGCTAGTAACACCTGAACCCAATGATCAATTTTAAAACTTTAAACGTGGGATGAGACCTGACATTTTATGCCTCCTGATATGATACAATAACCAGACAATGCCCATAATGTATTTTTGCAAAAGAAAAAAAAACCCCAAAAAACAAAAACTGGAAACTGAGTCTAATCAAGTAGTAGCTCTGTAACTGCTTAAAGGGTATAGGGCGGCTGGAAAATCACATGAAGCACCACTACAAGGCAGCAACTAGATAGATCCAGAATGCAGGACTTTTTTTTTTTTTTTTTTTTTTTTGAGTTGGAATCTCACTCTGTCGCCCAGACTGGAGAGCAGTGGCCGCTCCCGGCCACCGCAGCCTCGACCTGCTGGGCTCCGACGATCCTTCTGCCTCAGCCTTCCAACTAGCTGGAACTACAGGAGCGCGCTTCCACACCTGGCTAATTTTTGATTTATTGTAGAGGTGAGGTCTCGTCAAGTTGCCCAGGCGGGTCTCGAACCCGCAGGCTCAGGCAATCCACTCACCTCAGCCTCCCAAAGGCGTGGGATTACAGGCTGAGCCACCAAGCCCGGCTCTTTTTTTTTTTTTTTTTGAGTTGGAGTCTCACTCTGTCACCCAGACTGGAGTGCAGTGGCCGCTCCAGGCCACCGCAGCCTCGACCTGCTGGGCTCCAACGATCCTTCTGCCTCAGCCTTCCAACTAGCTGGAACTACAGGCGCGCACTACCACACCTGGTTAATTTTTTTATTTATTGTAGAGATGAGGTTTCACCAAGTTGCCCAAGCGGGTCTCAAACCCGTGGGCTCAGGCAATCCACTCACCTCAGCCTCCCAAGGCACGGGATTACAGACTGAACCACTGAGCCCGGCTTGCAGGACATTTTGAAAAGAAAAATAAACAGTTTCTTCACCAAATAAGTGGCATGGAAAAGGGGTGGACTCTTATCAACAGGGTGCCTGAATGAAACGTATTTGTATACCTAACACTTAACTGTACCCTACAACATCATAATAAAAAATATTGATTTTAAAAAAAAAGAAAAGGGGTAGAAAAGGAGAGGTGTTCAGATTACAAAGGGATTAAGAGACATATCAACCAAAACAGTGCATAGACCTTGCTGGGATCCTATTGAAACAATTCAAATGTGGAAAACATTTCAAGATGAAGGGAACAATATGAACAATTTGGATATTAGACAATGTAAGAAGCTGTTAGCAGCTGAGCGTGGTGGCTCATGCCTGTAATTTTAACACTTTGGGAGGCGGAGGGGGGGAATGCTTGAGCCTAGGAATTTGATACCAGCCTTGGTTACATAGCAAGACCTCGTCTCTGCCAAAAAATAAAAAATTATCCAGGAATGGTGATGTATGCCTGTAGTCCCCGCTACTCAGAAGGTTGAGGTGGGAGGATTGCCTGAGCCCAGGAAGTCAAAGCTGCAGTGAGCTGCAATCATTGTGCCACTGTACTCCAGCCTGGGTGACAGAGTGAGACCCCAACTCAAAAAAAAAAAGCTGTTAGTTTTGTCAGATGTAATCATGAACTTGTGATTCTATTAAGTAATCCTTGTCTGTCAGAGACAAATTACCAAAAGGCACTGGTGTTGCATCTGCTTTACTCAGTAAAATATGTATATTTATATATAACACATTTAGAGTGTTTTATTCAAATAATGATTACATACCAGCCAATTGAATCTAGTTTGATTTTTTTTATTGTTGTTACAAGTGGAGCTACAGGGTTCTGGACTCCAGGAAAGGCCTTCTGTTGGCTTTTGCTGAGTCTGGGAAACCTGCGCTCAAGAGGAAGCACCTCTCCAGGGAGACCTGTCCGAGAGGAGGGCCTGGCGTGGCAGCTGCTGCTAAGGGTTTGGCAGTCACCAGCAGGCCTGGCTGATCTCTCTTCCCTGGCAATGTCAGATAGGAGTGGGAGTGGGGAGGCAAGAAGGCATGGCCCTCTCGCCCTGAGCATTGTGCTGCTTCCGGTGAGTAGGCACCGAGAGCTGCCATGCTCCAGGCAGTTTTATGTAGGAAATGTTCCCAGTGTGTGCTTTTTAGACATCATTATGAGGTGGCAAAGCTTGGCAGCCTTATCTGAAGACCTTGTTGAAGTGCTTTTTTCATTCTTGTTTAGGAAGCACTTCTGTCGAAGGGGTCACCCAGGCTGCCTGAGCCGACAGGGGTCATGAAGCCCTGGGCAGCAGCCAGCTCTGGAAGATTAATGACGGACGAGCACTTCTTGGTAACCACTACTGATGCTAATGAGAAGATACAGGCTCCCTGAGCACTCACTAGTCTCAAGCGGTGTTCTAAGTGCTTTTTATGTTGTGTCACACTGCGTGCTCCAACAGTCCCATTAGATCAGTATTCCTAGAATTCCCATTTGAGAGATGAGGCCACCGAGGCCAGGTGAGCTTACATCACTTGGCCCATGACATGCTAAGAGGAAGAGCTGGGATTTCACCAAGGACAAGGCCCAGAGATGTTCCTAGGTAGGTGCTCAAAAGTGGTGTCTGCCTGGCAAGACAGAGGGCTCACATGCAGCCCCAGACTTTCTTTCGCTGGGGCTACTTACTGCATTCTCAGGATGGAAGATGTATGAGGCAGGGGAATTGTCCACGATGATCACTTTGCTCAGCTCCCGGCCGAGCCGACTCAGGTCCTTCACGTAGTTCCCACGATGAAAAACACATGATTCTCTGAAGAGCCGGGCCCGGAAAACACCCCAGCGGTCTAGTAGGTCAGCCACAGGGTCTGCATACTGGAAGGGAAGCGTCATAGTGAAGGCTGGGCACCTGAAAGACCCTAGACATCTTGACCTGCCGCAGCAAGATCCAGATGACCTTTTTTTATGAGTCGGGGTCCCACTCTGTTGCCCAGGCTGGAATGCAGTGGCACAATCTGGCTCACCACAGCCCCAATCCTCCTGGGCTCAGGCATTCCTCCTGCTTCAGACTCCCAAAATGTTGGGATTACAGGTGTGAGCCACATGCCTGGCCCAGATTTCCTTTACAAAAAGGGATTTAGGCCATGTGCAGTGGCTCACACCTATAATCCCAGAAACTTTGGGAGGCAGAGGCAAAGAGGATTGCCTGGGCCCAGGGGTTTAAGACCAGCCTGGGCAATTTAGCCAGACCTCATCACTACTATTAAAAAAAAAAAAAAAATTAACTGGGTGTGGTGGTGCACACCTGTGGTTCCAGCTACTTGGAAGGCTGAGGCAGAAGGATCACCTGAGCCCAGCAGGTTGAGGCTGCAATGGCCGTGAGTGTGCCACTGCACTCCAGCCTGGGTGTCGGAGTAAGACTCTGACTAAAAAAGTAAATAAATAAATAAAATGGACTTAATCATTGGGTGTGTCTTAGCAGCCTAGTTATTTTCCTCTCTGTGTATAGAAGGCGGCACTGGATTATACCATCTCTCTCATATCCAATCATCAGAAATTTCTCAGTTTCATCTCCACACACATCCAGACTCTGCCTGCGTCTCTCTGTTTATACTGCCACTGCCTCTAGTCTCAGCCTCTCATCTGTAGCCTGATGGCTGTGTGAACCTCCTCATGAGGCTCACTGGGCCTCCTTTCCAGCCCACCCACTGCGAAGCTGTCAGAGTAGCCACTGGAAGACATGCATCTGATCACGTCACTCCTCTGCTTAAAACTCCACTGCCGACTCTCTGCACTTGGAGTAGGGCCCACACTCCTCCCTGCCGTGTCCCGCACGACCGCAGCCGAATGGTCTCTGCCGTCTCGAACCGCCTGAGCACGTAGGCTTTGAGCGTGTCAGAACCCTTGCATCAGTGTCCCCTCTGCACGGATCACGCTCTCCCCAGCTCTTTGCGTGAATCACTCCTATCTCCTCGTTTCTCAGGTCCAGGCTTCCCTCCCCACCTATCTAGAGTTCGCTCCATCCTCCTTTCTGGATCGTCTCTTTGGCCTCACGGTCACTTCCCTCAGAGAGCAGCAGTCTGGGGGATTGCTTTATTTCCTCTTTACCTGTCAAGGCCCAGGCCTTGCCTGTCATGTTCACCACCATGTCCCCAGCACCTCACAAAGTACCTGCCTCACAGCAGGTGCTCGGTGAGTATTCATTTCATCACAGAATGAATGAGATGCTTTGAATGTGTGTGGTGTGAGGCCACACTGCCCCCTAGAGGTCCTCTGGGGAGTTGGGCCAGACCAGCTGCTATGGACCTGGAGCCTGAGAGTTTAGAAGCCCAAGTCATTGTTGGGGTTCATCCTCAATGGCCCCCTCTCACGGCTTGGGGAATTTCCCTCAAAGCAGGGTAACCTGGATAAGAAATAAAGGGGTTCCTGAGATAAAATTCTCAAAAATAAGGACACCTAGAAGAATGGGCCATCCTGAGTGGCAGAGCCTGGAGGCCAAGAGTGGCATTTCCAGGTCTGATGTGAGGCCAGGTCTCCAAACTAAGACCAACGTGAGGGGCACAGCCGGCATCCCTGGGGACCCAGGGAGCCTGCCACGGAGACTGGTTGTGTTGCAGAGGGATGCACAGCAACTCTGAGTGCAGGGCACGTGCCAGCACAGATGCAGGCACAGGCTACAGGGCTACCAGTAGCAGTCACAATTTCATGGGAGAGTCGCCCCCTCTCCAAGGACATCCTGAGGGAGGCAGAGTCCAGGAGCAGCTGTGTTTCTTACTGACCAAGTGTGGTGAGAGCTCGGGGTGGTGCAGTTTCCTGCTGGTGATGCTAGTAGTCATGACCCACATGGGCTATGGGGGACTACCTCTAGATAGAGACGATTCATTTCCTTGTAATCATTAACATGTGGGTGGTACCCCAGCCATCTTGCAAGAAGGTGTCTTAGAGATGACTATGAAGAATGTAAGCTTCACGAGGGCAAGGACTCTGTCTCTTTCATTCTTTGTGGTATCCACAGTCCCTAGTACCCTGCTTGATACATAATAGGTACTGAGTAAATATTTGCCAGGTGAATGAAGGAATGTATGACAAAGAAGCAGATACCGAAAGGTCTGACCATCAGTTGAGGCTTCTGCAGGTTCCTGGGCAGCAGGCAAAGGGTTGCTCTGCACCAGTGCTGCTGGCTGGGAGTTGAGGGCAAGGACTGGGGGAGTGACCGCCCGTCAGCAGAACTTACACATCAGGGAGGAAAGAGGGTGAACTTGGGAGCAGATTCAGCTCACTAGGTTGGAGGAGCAGCAAGCAAAGGGTTGGAGTGACAGATGGAGGGGCAGGTGGGAGCAGTTCAGGCAGAGAAACCGAACAAGGATGTTTAAGCAAATGCTGGGGACAATGCCAAGGAAGAGTGTTTTCAATTTTGCCAAAGAAAAAGCAACTCTCAGTTCCCCGCCACTGGTGCAATCTTCTGTTTGTTATTTCTTTGGTTATTACTTCGGGTTCTCTTAGCATCCCAGAGCACTATCAGAAGAGCCACTGAAGCTACAGATACAATTAGTTTTGGTACCACTTTTCTGAAAGACTACCCACCGGGAAAGACACCGCCTTCCCTGAGGCCTTGTTCTCTTTTTGGCATGCAAAAACAAGACACAGGATTTGGACTCACTCTCCATTGGCTCATGCTCTCAAGCTTGGTGATGAGTCTTGGCAGAACTGTGTACAGGCAGAGCTCTTTCTCTCCTCTGCCACCACAGAGAGATGGACGCGACCAGGAACATACAGGCCGGCAACGCCATGGGACATGGAGGAAGAGAACGGAGTGTGGGTGCCAGGGTGCTGCCCAGAGGCAGGACACGGGAAGAAAGCTGCCATGCAATCTCCTGGAGATGTGCAGATGGCTAACCTAGGCCCCACAAAACTCAACTTTGGGGCCACTGAGGGTCTCCAAGGTGTCCATGGAGATATGGGTGGTACCAGCAACAAATAGATGGCGTTGGTCCTGTCAGAGTCAGGGGTTAGGAGACGGTCCTGGCAAGGACCTCTTGGAGGAGCAAGGCCCATCTGAGACCCAGCACAGGCACCCACCACCCTGGGAAGGGGGGACTACACCATACTGGGGGGCCTGAGAACCTGCTAGTTTCCTTAAATAGTGGAGCGAACAAAGAAACCACTCTATTTGGTCAGAGCCAGTGCAGACGCTGGATCAGAGATTCATACCAAGCTTTAGAGCTAGAATATGTCTGAATGATTTTGTCACCATTAACCATTAAGATACTAAATAATGAACGTCAGGAGCACTTACCATGGGACAATGCTCAGCATAATGTGTGGAACACAGTGAGGGCTCAATAATACTTGCTGAATGCAAGACAGACACCGTGCTAAGCCCCATCCATTATCTAATTTGAGCTACCCCAAAAGGTAGATAGAATTATCCCCAATTTACTGAAGAAACCAAGGTGAGGGAAGTGAAGTCACTTACCTGAGTTCACCCGACATACCAGAGACATGAGAATTCCCATTCAGCCCACACATTGTCTCTGGTGGTCTCTCCCCCAAACTCATGTAAACTAAACCCAAGGACACACGGACCTCTGGCATTGGGTTGCCAGTCAATGGATAAGAGGTGTGCCATCCTTTCTTGGTCACACTGTACGTGTGTGATTTCCTGGTCTGTGGATGACCAGTTTCAGGTGGCTGCAACTTGATGGAGCATTTGCTCCAAGTGTACCCTGTCACCATGGTAACCCAGAAGCTTTTCAGGCTGGCACTGTGCACATGGCCTGCATTCATCCCATCTGGGGTGGGAACCTGTCACCATAGAAATAACTTCCCCCACCAAAACAAAGGACTGCTTAACAGATTGGGGAGAGGGGTGGAGGGGCCGGGCATGGCAGGCTGGGAGGGTAGGGCTGGGAAGCAGGACTCACCTTGGCCAAGCTGGCAGTAAAGAGCACACACTCAAAGAGCTGCCCCATCCTCTGGAGGAACTCGTCCACGTGAGGCCGCTTCAGCACATATACCTGCAAAGGCAGGAGACAGCAGGCTGGTCAGTCATGGCAGCTGCTGGGGATGGCCTGGGGCACAAATGCCCACTGTGGGAAGAACTGGCAGCAGAGGCACAGATTCCATGAGGGGCTAACCGGTCAGATGTGGCACTGCTCAGGTTGGGCTTCGGGTCTGAGTTCCATGCAGCCACACCTACCAAGGGGGAGAAGGAAGCAGACTATGGTACTGAGGGTTTTGGGGATTTTCAGAAGCAGCGAGTGGAAGGGCTATACTATGTGTGAAATGACTCATTCACTTCATACGTGTTTCTCAGCAACTGCTCAGGGTCAGGACCTATGTAGGCTCAAGCCATCGTCTAGCCACTGTCGTTTTGGAGGTCCAGGCCTGACCTATGGCCTGGCAGGCCTGGATTGCTCCGGCTGTCAGCTTCTATTCTGGATGGAACACCTCCCGCATTAAGAAGGCCTGGGCTTGAGGTGCAGGCCCAGCAAAGCTGCAAGAAGGGCCTTCCTTGTCAGCTCGGGGAGCCCATCTACTCAACACCATCAAGATTACTCTACTTGGGCTCGGTGCAAAAACAGACATTTCGGTGTAAAACCATGCTACTCCAGGACCCCAGAAATAAGCCATCAGGGGGCCTCTAGGCAGCGGAAGGCAAAGGGTAGCCCATTCTAGAATGCCTGGGCTCTAGGCCCCCTTGGGCCTGGCCAGCGTGAGGCTATAAGGAGGCCAGGGTTCAGCCCACACAGGGGATCCTGACTAGGGAGGCTGAGGGAATCTGAGGAGACAAGGAGGTGGGAGAGAAGGCGAAGCTGAGGAGAGAAGACAGAGGCCGTGGGGGAAGGAGGAACAAATACAAACTCGAATACATTCCATTTGAAATTAGTTGTTCACTAAAAGAAATCAAACACTTTACAATTCAGTTCAGCGTATCACTGAGTCCCAGCTCTGTATTCTGCCGAGCAGTTACACAGATGAATAGAACACAGGCCTTGCCCTTGAAGAGCTCACAGTCTAGAGCAGACATATGCAAAAATATATAAAAATAAACTTGGCACAATGAAAAACACAGTAGAGGGATAAATTAAGGACAATTAACTCCCCTCTTAGGGGAGGGAATCACAGAAGATAACATTTGGCCTAGACCTTGAAAGATAAACAGGAGTTCGCCAGGCCGATAAGGATGAGAAGCAGTGAGATTATAGGCAGAGGAACAGTATGAGCGTGAGACCTGGAAGCCTGGAAATGCTTGAGGTGCTAGAGAATGGCCAGAGCCTGGGGTCCGCTCGTCAGAGGCAGAAGAGAAGAGGGGGAAGCAGGGATGGGAGAAGTGGCTGAAGACAAGTGACAGGCAGGTTGTGGTGAGCACACTAGGGCCTTGAATGGCAGATGGAGCAGGTTGCATAAATTACAGGAGGACTAGCTGGAGGGAGGGGGTGGGGGTCTGTACCACCTCCCAGGACATGCTGCCAGCCAAGGAATTCTACATAGAACCAAGTCACTTTCAAGACGCCAGAGGCAGGTACCCAGGAGGGCCAGGACTCAGCGGAAAACGCATGGCTGACGGAAAGAGGAGGTTGGGCATGGGTCTAGGGTCAAGGGTAGACTGAGGGGATGGAGGAACAGGATGGCCTAGGGCGGAGCTGGGAGACGGGGATAGAGGCAGAGGGCAGGGCCTGTGGTCCAGCAGCTCCAGGCTTCCACTTTGCCCATGAGACTCCTTGGTGCCAGCGAATGGGTGCAGCCTGCAGTCCTCAGTCTCCCTGGGGGACAGCTTGGAAAGCAAGCTCTGCTACATGCAAGGGCATGAGACTGATTTGGGAACTCTGGCGATGGTGCCTCTGGCAGAGAGGAGGGTCCTGGGCCCGGATGCCGGCGTCCAGGCCCGCGTCCCCGTGCAAGTAACCGAGAATAGGCCCATTGGGACCTGCACAGCCTATCCTGGATTACTTGAACGAGGCCACGGCCTTCGCCAGGGCCTTGGTCCTCCTGCTCTTGGCGCCCGTGGCTTCATTCCCTCAGGAGAGAATCTCTGACCCCAGCCCTGGGACCCAGGGGTAGCACAGCACAGTCAAGAAGGAGGGTGGGGGAGCTGCAGTGGCTCCTGCAAGAATGAGCTGGCAGGGATAGGCCAGTCATGCTCCCGGTCATGTGGTGCAGAGGATTAATTTCTCCCCTAATTCTTGCCATGCTATTGGGCAGCCTCTACTTTGTCTCATCATGTGTACATTGTCACATGGGCCAAGATAAATGCAGAAGCCTTAACTGCTTCTCAGATGCTGAGTTAATTCAGTTGATGCCTTTGCAAATGTTTTGGCTCCGTGATGGCTTTTAAGAGCACAAAGTATGAAAATGCTAGGGATAAGGCTGCTTTTCCCAGGCACTGTTTCCTGGCAGGACTTCCCGGAAAACAGGCAAGAAACCAAGGACAGGGGAGGGAAGGGACTTTGGTATCAGGGAAAGAGTTCTGAAGAAGGGAGGAAGCTGGATTCTCATTTTAATTATTCCCATTGTATGATCTTGAGACAACTCTTTCCCTGGCTGAGCCTCAGTTTCTCCATCTGGATGATGAGGTGACTGGACTGGCTGATTTCTAAGGCCTTGCCAGTTCTGATGTCCTATACTCAAGAACCAAAGACACTACTGACATCATTAAGGAAAGACATCCTGTTGTGGCTCAAGGACCACGAAAGATTTTTCCTTCCTGGGATGTCAGGCCAATTACTCTCCCTTTAAGGCCTGAGAGCTGACAAGGAAGATGGTTAGATCATCCCTGTGGAAAACCTGACAAAAAGTCCCTCCCTTTAACCTCCAAGGCTCGCTTTCCTATGATGTTTCCAACGTTTCAAATGAAGCTATTTCCGGAAGAGCTTTATGCAGATAAGGGGGGAAAAAAAAGAGCCAGAACAAACGAAGATGCATGCCAACTGACGGTGGCATCTTTATTCATAGCAGCCTGCTGACCCAAGAGCTCACGCCCTTCCCACCTTTTCTTTTGGGTTGGGCACTTGCTAAAGATTCACTGGAGAAGACGACACGGGAGCAACAAGGTCAGTCTGGAGCAGCTGGCATTGAAAAAGGACACCTTTTCCCGAGAATCCACAAAAAGTGGGTGACTTGTGGTATTTTCCTGTGGCCTGCTAGGAGAGTAGCCAAAAGCAATTACATGAGGAAGTTAATTAGACCATCAAGCTACGCCAGCGGGGGATATGGAAACTTCTGAGAATCTGCATCAAATCAAAGAACTATTTGAACTTGCAACCACATCTAATATTTATGAATAGATTATAGTTTTCCTCATAAACTCAGTATAAAAGAAATTCATCTGAGTCAAATAAAGCAGAAAAACATGGTATGTGTTATACAAGTATGCTTCCTTTTGATTTAGTAATAAAATTACTATTGAAATGAGAAGTTAGAAATAAAGTTCATGGGAGATATGATTATTGCAACATCCTAACTGAAATTCAAATTTAGCTTCGATTTCTTACCTGATGTATAGTTCCATCGATTTCAACCGGAACAATAAAATCAGCATTACTAATAGGCTGGAGAGAAAAGAAACTATAATTAATATGCTGAAAGAACAAAAAAATTGGGAAATTTTAGCAAGAAAGAAGCTTGCCTGAACCACTGTTTTGATTATTGGAAAAAACAGTTCAGGAGGGAGGATGTTGAAGCATGCCTTGGTTCCTTAAAACAAACACAAGCAGGAAAGCACATTATTTTCTGTTCTGAATGTTACATTTTCAGCATCTTGGTCCAACCTCTTTATCACCTGCCTGGCCTTAACCATGAAGGGTAGCACAACCTGGCTAAAGGATAAAGCTCTTCAGAAACTCCAGGTCTTACCCAGAGCCCTTCCTGGGTGATGGGGAACCACTGCTGGCCACCAGGGGTGGGGGCGGGGTGGGAGTGGGGAAGCTGATCACCTGATGGGCCCATAGGACAGTGCTGCTTGAGGAAAAACAATTTGTACTTGGAACCACAAGCGGGCTGCCCCACGATGGACTGCTGGGCACATGGACCCAAAGCAGGGCAAGGACGGGTGGGGTGAAGTCAGAGGCTCTTCTCCTCTCTGAACCTCAGTTTCTCCTTTCTTCCTCTGCTATAGTCAAGGCTCTGATGAATGCCCATGGCCCCCTCCAGTCCGGAGAATTAGTGATTTCAAGGGCCTTCCTGGTGGCCTGGAATCGTCTCCTGCCTTGGGGGGTGGGAGGATGCCAGTCCTCCCTAGACTGCTCTGCTCTGAGGAACACAATATCCAGTGTACCCACAAACTTCTGGATATTTAAAATAACTCTTTGGCAATCTTAATGACATTTAAAATTCAAGTACTATTCTTCAGCAGTCACTAGGTTCTCAAGGAACTTACACACAGTTTTCCACAAATCAGGAAGAAAATTACTTAAATGAAAAGGTCCAGGTGAGTCATCAGCCTGGAAACCCTTAGGAAGGGGGATGGAAAGGGGGGGAAGAGAGAAAGAAAGAGAGAGAGAGAGAGAGAGAGAGAGAGAGAGAGAGAAGGAGAAGGAGAAGGAGAAGGAGAAGGAGAAAGAGAAAGAGTGTGTTGCAGAAAGTGTGTGTTGTGTGGTGGCCACTAGGCAAGGGTGTGGGGTATGGAGTCTCTAGTAAGACTCCGAACTGGGGTCTGCCTTTAAGTCCATCACGATACACATAAATACTCTTCTTTGATATCCAAACTAAAAAAATATGGACACTTCCAGGTTGTAGCATCATTACTAAGCACTCAATAGTGCATCTGAGGCCTAAGATCACAGATTATTTACTTCCAGGGTTGGAAGGTCAAGGATAAGTTCAATATTTTATGACATCACAACAAAAATGAATCAAGATAAAAAATGAAAGACCGAAGAGACTCTTGCAAGGCACTAGATTATGAAATCACATTCCACAGAGTGTATTAAAAGAGACAACCATTCCCCAGTTTACAGCAAGCATGGTCCCTACTCGCCTTTTGTGCTGATGTGAAGGGGGCCCTGCTACAGCTAGGGTTCTCAGCCTGGCATCCATGAACTTGTGTGTTGCAGAGCTGTATATTTTCAAGGGGCAGAGGGTTTATAGCTTTCATTCTCAAAGGGCTATAAAATGCCCAGAAAACCATAAAGAATATTCTGGCTGCAAACATAGGCAGGCCAGGGGAGGGAAGAAATGAGGAAATACTGTTCACATCAGCTTGCGGCATTAATGCCCTCCGAGCAGGATCTGGAGACACCAGGGGCTGCCAAGGCTCTGCCTTTGGAGCCAGGAACCCTCAGTAACTTCAGGCCGTCCGGTCAATGTTGCTCACACTCCCAGAGCTAGCTGGGAGGAATTTCTCTATGTTATGATGGCAACTGCTCTGAAGGACTTTTCTTCAAAGGGACTTGAATGAGTCCTGAGCAACCTGTTGATGGCAGGGAAAAGGCTTCCAGTGCTGTCCAGGGCTGAGCTGAGACACAAGGCCTCTGTAGCCCCTGGACCAACCCTGGAAGGACCTGGCCCCATCCTGGAAGGGCCTGGCCCACGAGTGCTGGGGAATGAGGTGGTCCCTAGACACCCCAGTGGCTAGAACAAGGTCCCTCTTCCACTCTACTTTCTGGTAGAAATGTGTTCAGGCCTATCCGATAACTCTCCTGCTTCCCATATGATTTGCAAGGAATGACTATGGTTTACGTGAGAAACCCACCCCATCACAGATGGTGCTCTTCATGTCTCTCAGTGAAGTAAGGGGAGTCTCACCCGGGCTGGGAATGAAAAAGAAACACAGTACCGCTGAGTAGCGACAGCAGAGCAGTCCCACTGCCAGAAATAACCCCAGGAAGACAGGGTGAACTGTGCAGAACCCTAAACACCTGCTGCTTCTCTCCCATATGCCAATCTCCTACTTTCAACCTTTTCATCATTTGTGGTTTCTTTCTTTTTTTTTCTGAGTTGGAGTCTCACTCTGTTGCCCAGACTAGAGTGCAGTGGCCACTCCTGGCCACCGCAGCCTCGACCTGCTGGGCTCCGGCGATCCTTCCGCCTCAGCCTTCCGAGTAGCTGGAACTACAGGCGCGTGCTATCACGCCCGGCTAACTTTTTGACTTTATTGTAGAGATGAGGTCTCGCCTGCCCAGGCGGGTCTCGAACCCGCGGGCTCGGGCAATCCACTCACCTCAGCCTCCCAAAGGCGCAGGACTACAGGCTGAGCCACCGAGCCCGGCCATTTGTCTTTTCTAAACGATTTCTTTCACTTTAAAAAGAAACAAAAAATGGTGAATTAACTCATTTCTGAATAGTGTAGCCACAGTTACTCCTGTATGGCGGTCTTTTATAATTCTTCACTTTTGTTGTCTTTCTGGTGGGAAGATGAAATGCAAGGAAGGTGATAGGAAGAGTGTCTGGCGCTCACTCAGAGACATCACTGTAGCTCCTCATCCTTCATGAGGGACGTCATGAAGGTAGGTACTCACTTAGCTTATAAAAAATTCCAGCAACCTCTTGTCATGACAAGAGTCAAAATAAATGGCTGGATTCATTTAGATGCTGTCAACTCTGAAAGTCTTCTTCAGAGTTGGACATCTTTCAGAAATTGATCTGGGAAAATCTCCAGGATAGCAGGCAGTTGGACAGTTTCCAACAGTGCCTCCCCTGCCCCTCCTAATAAAACACATCGCATGCTGGTTATCTTGACAAATACAAATAGTGTCCTAGGGCGCTGAATACTTGTGTCTGAAAAGTAGGGGATTAGAGTGTTCAAAAGCTCAAATCTCATGAGTAAGAATGAGGTCCCAGTGATATGGGCAGCCCAGCGTTTTTCTCCCAACTAATTCTGTTAATATGCAACTACTTTAGTTAATGTTCACCTGGGTTAATAAGCAGCTGCGGGGATTTCTTCGTGAAGAGTGAAGCCATACACTAACAACCACAAGCTTTTGTCCTTTTTATTTTTCATTTTCCAATACAATTGTGAGTAAATCACAAAGCTCACAGACATTTTTTTAATGCTGATTTACCTTAAATGAACTGTGCACCAACGTCTCATCTAAATCAATGACCACACATTTCTTTCCGTAGTCAAGCACCGTCACCTCTGGAAGGAGGTATTTAGCTGGTGGCTAAAGGGGGGGGGGAAATCATTATTACCTTTATGTAAAAGACAAACCAATTCCCTCATTACTGTATTATACGATGTTAATGAAAGCATAAATGAAAGCAAGCATTTAAATGCCTGGTCAAGTATATCATGAAATTTTATTAAGCACAATATGAATAAGGAGTTTGCAATTGAAGTTTTTACCAAACAAAACACTATGCCATTACCTGAATGACTACTATGAGGGACTAGGCTTTGGAACCAGACAAACCTGGATTTGAATATCAGCTCTGTCACTTTCTTGGTTGTAAGTTGGGATAATTATACCTACCATGAAAGGTTATTGTTATCTGTTATAATGGAAGTCAAACACTCAGCATTTTGTCTGGCACATATGTTGGTGGCTATTGTTACTGTTAAAATGAATTACACAAAAATGAGTGTTTAATTATTATAGGTGTAACTATGCAGGCCCATGTCCTGAGGTTCTGTTTTGCCCGGAAATCACTGTGGCACATAAGTATATTTTAAAGCTATGTTGGAACCAGTTTTTTTTTTTTAAGTGCATGAGATTTTTTTTACAACTTGAAGAAAAATTATAGAGTACCAGCAAAACGCAATCCAAAGTTACCCCCAATCCTAGGAAACAAAAGCAAAACCGGTCCAGGTACAGGGCCTGCCTGGTGCCTGCCCCACTGTGGCATAACACTGAGTAAATGTGGCATTGTTAGCTCTTGGATTTCTTTGCCTCTGAAAGTTAAACTTTAATCCACATGTTGTGTGTTAACCAGAAAACCTATTCATGTGTATTTGTAGTAGCAGATTCTAATCTCATGATAAAGAAGTCATAAAGAGTTAATACAATGCTAACCTCATTTGATTTAGAGTATTTATATCGGGACTTGTCTAAATCCAAAAATGATCTGAAGTATTTTAGTTTACTTTGTGGCAATATTAAATGTCCAATGTTAACTAGTTAATTTTCTGTCCTGTAAGAAGGTCAAACTCTGTTTAATGTTTGATGTTAAACAAAACACAAGAAAAAGCTATCCCTAGCCACTGGAGAATGGCTAAATTCTAAATTTAGTGTATCAAATGAAACAAGATACAAAATGAAATAAAGAGGTATTTACTCTCTTTTAAACGGCTATTTCATCTTTTTTTCTTTTGGCTTATTAAACTTAAAGTTAGTCAATGATCAAAAATAAATTTTGGACTTTAGTTGATTCAACAGTGAATGCAACACAGGCAGTCAAAAGGTTAGGTAAATCTGCAAGTACAGTGATCACCTTGGCAGACAGGGACGGTCCAGGGCTACCCAGGAAGAAGTTATGTGGGGACACGAGCATTTCTAACTCTAGAGGGGCTCTCTCTAGTGAGCACAGGCATTTCATCCTTTTCCAGAGTTGTCCAGAAGAAAGAGCCTTGAAGTCCTCCCAACACCCTTGGCTCTAACAAAAGCTGGCCAGGGGGTCCTCCCTAATCCTACAGTTCTGGGAAGAGATGTGGGATTTACCTTGGAAATGGACGTGGAATCTGGGTACCTAGATAGAACTCTATCCTTCATTATAAACCAATGAGTGAGTCAGCAGGTTAATAAGAAGACATTAAACTTGCAAGAAGTTTTACATCAAAAAGTATTTTTAAAAAGCGGGGATGACGAACTCTCTAAGTGAACATAATAGAGAGGATTTGGGCTATTTCTGTTGTTTGGGACAGAGCAGAAAGCATGTTTGGGACCAGAATAAGATTAGTTTTAATTTTTAATACACAATTATGTAATATAAAAACACATTCTCATTGCAAAGAATACAGACATGTGAGAATAAAGCACCACTGTTTCCTTTTCTGTGCCCCTCGGTTTGACTTTAGTATGTCTCTAGTCCTTCCCTTATGTGTTTATACAATACTATTAAGACAACATTTTAACTTATTAATTTAATTGCGAGCCTGGAAAATAAGGATCTAGAAATTCTATCCCCAGCATATCTGAAAACATCAAAGATCTGCCAACAGTGGCTGTTATTTTCCAAAGCTGAGGATAAAAATTACTTTCTTAACATATTTAGCCCACATTTTACAAGCATTCTGAGTTAACAGTAAGTAAAATCCTTTCTGTACTGAAATCTAAGAAAGGAAAGATCAAGGGTGAGACTCCTATTAAACAAGCTATTGATTTTGCATTGCAATGAACAAGGCCACTCTGGGGGACAGTAGGCTAGGAGGGTTCCATTAATCTTTGGCTGTTTCCTAAATGCATACAGCTTCTCTGAGAGCTTAGTTTTAGATTAATGCAAATTCTTCAGCCTACTGGTAAGAATTCTTCAGGGCAGTTGTGTCCTTGGCAATGCACACTTCAATTGATCTGTTCAGGTGATGCTTGAATCGTTAACTAAAAAATTTCCTGAACCAAATTTTCTGAGGCCCTCAGAAAGCTGAAGAACAAGAGAAATATCAGTTATATCAAGAAGGGCCTTTTCTATATACAAAATCACTTGCTTACATGCCCACAGAAAGCATTGCAGGGAACAGAGCGGAGGAGGAAGGAGGGACTGTGATAAGGTTTGGGAATGGTGTTCATTCTACTTCTCTTCCTGGGAAGTAAATCTGAAACTTCCTCTCCCCGACAGTGACCTGGCAGCCATGACAGCACTAAGGCTATTTCCTCTGGAATACCCATCCCACACATCCTCATAAACTATATAGCTATGGTACTTCTTGGTACATGAGATAATTGTTTTCTTACTTAAGATTTCTCAGGCTCAGAGTACGCACGCTGTGCTCCCCAAGCCTCCACATTCAGGGCAGAGGACTCAGGGCTTACTGCAAGAAGAGGCCAAGGAAGATTCCAGACTGGTTTCCACTAGAATAGTTGTTCTGCAGAGCGCTTTAGTGGAAAGGAGTGCGCTACCACTTTATTAAAAGCTTTAGGCAAATAGCATAGAAACACTGCGGTTAGATAACAAATTCTTCCCCTTTCAGCCTTTTTTCTGGCTCAGTTACACTGCCTACCTTGTGTTCGTGAGAGTGGTGTGTGATTTAAGTGGGAACAGCAGGATTCGGGTTATAGTCCCAGTGACATGCCTTACTGAGATCAAAGCTTCTGAGTGCTCACCTCAAGACATGACCACCCAAACTTCAGTGGTTTCTAAACTTTTATTCCTCCTGCATCTTTTTCTTACCTTTCAATATCTCACTTTCACCAAATAGCCCATGAACCTTTCCAGTAAGGAAGGCCCTAAATCCCAGTCCATAGTGGGGAGACACATGCTACTAAGTGGAACTTTTAACAGTCCAGATAAAGATGTCACTTCCGATAGGTGTATAAAAGATGATTACTCAATAAATGGTGCTGGGACAACATAGTAGCCACTTGGAAAAAAAGACAGATTGCTACTTGATCTTAGACCAACCAGGCCTTATACCAACATAAAATCTAAATGGATTGCCAGGCCTTACACCAACATAAATTCTAAATGGACCAAAGATTTAAGTGCAATAATAAGACCATTAAAATACTAGAATAAAATATAAAATCCAAGAGTCAAAAAGGACAGGATAATATTTAAAATGTAAAAAGATAACACACACCAAAAATATGAAGAAATGAATAAGGAAGAAGAAAGACATAAAGCCAATGAACTTGTGAAAGGCTGTTCACTCACTCATAAAGAAATGCAAATCAAAGCAATAAATCAATACCATTCTTTACTTTCAGATTAGCAAAGGTTAACACATTTGATAACCATTTTCTGTAAGGGTATGAGGAAATCTCATAAACTCTTTTTGGGAATGTATATTAGCATAGGCTTTTGGAGGACACTTTGGCTTTAATGTACCAGTAATGTAAAATATATCCTTTGACCCAACATTCCCAGAACTAGAAACTAATCATACAGAACTATCACACAAGTCCATAAGCACATAGGTACAGGGATATTTTTAAGATAAATACTTGTAATGGCTCAGAAGTAGAAACAAGGTAATGCCATCAGTGATATATAAAACAATGAGGCAGATATATACGTACTACTATTTGGAAAGATGTTTAAGGCATCTTGTCAAAAGCAACAAGCAATTTGCAGAATGTAGGGTGCAACAAAACCTCACTTGTATAAATATGCTTGTGTCTGTCTGGAAAATTTCTGGAAAGATACATGACATATATTAAAAGTGGTTATTCTAGGTAGTAGGACTATGCTGGGGGATTTTTTCTTTCTATTTTAATCTTTCAGCATTTTAAAATTAGCCATGAGCTTGAATTACCCTAGTAAAAAGTTAAGACCAAATGTGCACATAATGAACAGAGCAGCACACGAATGACAGAGAGGAGTGAGGTGACAAGCAGAGATGGAGACCCCAGCTGGAGCTGCTCTGGGTACCCAAAAGCCCAGAGGCACTCTTCACCTTCAGGGCCAGAGAAAGTTTTCAGGAGGTTGTAGAACTCAGTTTGGTGGCTCAACACAAGCCTGGATTTCTGGTCCTGTGTGTAGCCCTAAGCTCTTAGGGCTCTCAACACTGACTAAGTCCCACAGTGGTCCAGAAAGGCCAGGACCACTCTGCTTATGGAACCTGGGGTCTTCTCAGGTTGGTGCAGGTCTTGCAGCAGATCCCCACTGGCCCCCAGGTGGGCAGTGGAGATCATACTGTGACTCCCAGTGGAACTGCTTCTCTGGAAGTCATCATTCAAAAATGCAAGTTACTCCAGCTTGTTTCTGGGCAAGGTAGTTCAAAGGCTTTAACCAGAGTCTCATATGTAGGACACAGTCACAATTTTATTGATTTAATACTGGGATAAATTACACAAGGAACCTTCTTTCCCTTGCTTATTTTATTACAGATTTCTGTATATGACTGAGTCTACATTTGTGGGAAAAGGGTCAGTTTCCTCAGTGGGGTTTTTATACTGTCAAATGCTCTCAGTTAGCACTTCACTTTACAGACAGTTGTGGATTAACTTTGAGAAAAAAACAGTAGGAGTGATATTGAAGGTGGAGGGAGAAATGCTACCTGCTACCTGTTTAATGCAGGTATCTTTGCAGAAAAAAATATCTGAAACTACTCTGTTTAAAGGCTAAAAGGAGTCTTCTGGTATTAACCCCATTGGTTATCTCCCTCAAACACTGGTTAAAAAGTTGTGTGGCTTGATCAATCTTTTTAATAAAAGCCAGTTTTCCCAACAAAGCCCAAACTTCAGGTAAAGTCCGAATCACTCCACAAACTCTTGCAACTTGTTAGTCAATGGAGAGTTAGTTTTGAGAAAAATGAAATTATCAAAAACTATCTGGGCAATGTGTGGGTGATACTACCAAGTCCTTGGAAATCCACTCCTTTCAACATAAGATTGCTGGGTCTCTTGGATGTTCCCAGAACATGTGAAAATCCCAGAAAAAACAGACAAACAGATTTGAATCAGGAAACCTGAATCAGATTATACTTAAATGAAAATATCGATTTATGGACATGTTCTGAAACCTAAATCCTTCTTTAAGGACACAGGACTGTTTGAAAGGTGTTTGATATAGACATTATGACTACACGTTTCTTTGTTTCTTTTGGAGCTGGTTTACAGTTTGCTTCTTGCTGACTAGCCTCAGGCTGGGTGGTTCTGCTGGTAGAGTGAGAGGAAAAGGGACAGCGGGGATGGGGACAGCAGATGGCTGAGCGGTGGCTGGTGCAGACCCGTACTGGGATGAACCACTGGCACAGCTTCTCTCCTAAATTCCAGGGCGACAACACAAGTGGGGTGGCCCTGGGGAGTGCTTAGCTGGGGCAGAGTTGCAGCTTAGCTGGCCTGTGGTGTGGGTGGGCCCTGCAAGTTCAGGGAATATAATTAAGGTGACTTTCTCTGATCTCAGAGCTATAGCCAAGCTACCAACACTGTTAAGTTAGAAATGATCTGGTCACCTAGGGTCTGAGCTTGGTGAGCCCAGTTCTACCAGACCGAACCTGCCTCAAAGAACCATGTCTGGGCAAAAGTATGTTCTCCCCAATCTTTGGAGTTAGGGCTAAGGTGTTGGGGTGGGATCAGGGTTCCAAGCTCCAAGCTATCTCAGGTAATTAAGCTGGGAGGCTCTTCCCAGAGAGAAAGGAAAGATGATGATTGGGTTACTAGGTGCTGGCTGTCCCACCATTCCTGAGAAAGAAAACTATCTCTGTACAGAACTTCCTGCTCACAGTTTAAAATGTAGCTTCATTTTTCTTTTTAACAAAACAGAGCTGTTTATACCACATAAGCAAGAACATTTAAAAAAGTCTTTTATATTAGTAGGCCCATAGACAACAAGATTCTATGAATGTTTCAAGAAAATTGGAATAAGTATACATACACTTGGTATGGGAATGACCTGCCTCTGGTCACCCTGAGGAAAAAGAAAAAACAATCATTGTCAGGTTTAAAGAGAAGAAGATCATATCCTCAAAGAAACTTCAAAGTACTCTCGAGTTCAGCAGCTATATGACTTCCTGTTCTCTGCACCTTGGTGGCATTTAGTGAACAGGAGGGACCCGAAGACCTTCCAGTTAGGCCACCAGGCTCCTTCTGTCTCCCAGACACCCCCTCCCGTAACAAGTCAGGCTGGACCCCAGAGGCTCACTCAACATCTTGCTTATTTAAGTAGTGCCTCCCTTACTCCCAGGAATTCAATTCTTGATTAAATGAAAATGCATACCTTACTTTAATCCTGGAGGCCCATTAAAACTGGTATGTGTCTTCTCTTTTTTTTGAGTTGGAATCTCACTATTTTGCCCAGGCTGGAGTGCAGTGGCATGCTCATGGCCATCCCAGCCTCAACCTGTAGGGCTCAGGTGATCCTTCTGTCTCAGCCTTCCAAGTAGCTGGAACTACCGGCATGCGCCACCACCTCCAGCTAACTTTTTGATTTATTGTAGAGACAAGGTCTCTCCAAGTTGCCCAGGTTGGTCTTGAAATCCTGAGCTCAGGAAATCCTCTCGCCTCTGCCTCCCAAAATGCTAGGATTACAGGTGTGAGCCATTGTGCCCAGCTTGTTTCTTCTTCTTTTTTTTTTGAGTTGGAGTCTCACTCTGTTGCCCAGACTGGAGTGCAGTGGCACGCTCCCGGCCACCGCAGTCTAGACCTGCTGGGCTCCGGCCATCCTTCCGCCTCAGCCTTCCAAGTAGCCGGAACTACAGGCACGTGCTATCATGCCCGGCTAGTTTTTTATTTATTGTGGAGACGAGGTCTCGCCAAGTTGCCTGGGCGGGTCTCGAACTGGCAGGCTTGGGCAATCCACTCGTCTTGGTCTGCCAAAGTGCTGGAATTACAGGCTGAGCCACCGAGCCCGGCCTGTTTCTTCTTTTAAAAAAGTTTTTTTTCCCCCCATAAAAAGACTAAGTCACTATCATATGCAGGGAAAGAGAGACAAGTTCACCAGATTACAAGGAATCCCCTGGTCATTCCAGGTCCTCCTCTAGGGGAGGGCTGGGGAGAGGGGACAAGGCAAGGTTCAAGAAGTTCCCTTTCAGGCCACAGACATAGGGACAGCTTTCCTTTTTAAGGCAGGAACACTCTGGGAGTGTTAAGAAAATCTAGGCTCTAAGGAAGGGTCTCAGCAATTCCTCAGCCCCCAATTCCAGCCATTCCAAATCTGGTTAATTGAAACACCTCATTTTAGCATTATTAAGAAATGCTAATTTTAAAAAATCTATTTCCATTGAGCATTTCCAGTTTTTATGTTTCTCCTTCTTCTTTAGATGACCCAGTAAGGAGATGCACAGCTTCATGCCTCCACAATGAAGAATTTGTGAAAAGATGTGTCCATTGTCATTAAGGGGTCTTGGTGATAATGAGGTCTCATGTGAAGGGGTCAAAACTGATGTTTGGCAAAGGCAGGTGGCACCTTTCTGAGCTCTGTTTTGACACTAAGAACCATTTAACAACTTCTTTATTATCTCCAGCCCCTAGTCATCACCTCTGCAGTGTAACCGCAACTACCGTTTCCTCTTGAGACAACCTCGATGGCTCTTGCCTTTTTTTGGGAGACTTGGGGCTTGTTTTAAGGATTCTAAACCGCCTTTTGGCATCATTCAAGGTAGAGCTATGCTGCTCTCCAACAGATGGTGCAATCCAATCAAATCCTAGGTTTCAATAACTTGTACTGAGAAATTCATTTCAGAAGTTGTTAATATTATTTCCAACTTTTAGATGCAGGAGCCCTTGCATACAGGTGCACCTTCAGAACCACACTTTTGATGAGATAAGCACATCAGTGATATGAGAGACCACAACAACACATCTGAAAAACACCGACCATGAGCAAGCAAAGGTGCTGATCTAGAAAGATACTTGGACTTGAAAATTACCCCAGAGACCTTCATGTATGTGTGAGCATGTACACATGGGGTGTGCGTATATTTGTGAGTGTCCCGTAATCCCTTTTAAGTAGTCTTTGTCTTTAGAAGCCCTTTGTGGTCTCTGTCATTGGGGTCTTCTGGGTACTGATTCCTCCTAACCTCTGGCTGTGGGCTTGCAGGTCCAGGTTGTGGCTGTGATGGTAGCAGTGGCAGCTACCCAAGCCACTGCTACAGAAGCAGCATGACCCTGGAAGGCTTCAAATCCTCATTTCTCCAAGTAGATTGAGTAGAACCCTAGAGGTCACCTGTTCCACTCTGTCCACGGCCTTTCCTTTTCCTCTAGCATGCTGAATTCCAAGAGGCAGGGACATCTGAGGACTTAGCAGATGGGCCTAGAATCTGCTTCCACATCTAACAGGCATGGGCTTTGTGTCCTGTGTGTCTTGACCAATTTGAGTATAA